ATTAAGATTAACATTAAGCTGTAGTTGTTCTGGTGACTATAGTGTCCCTTTAATATTCCTCCTCCCATTCCCCATTCTGTCCCTTTTTCTGTATAAACCCTCCCTATCTGTCCATTCCCAATTGTATAGTGATTCACTCCCTACCTGCTCTGGTGTAGTCTGGCTGAGTGGAATGGTACTGGTCGTCCTTGCAGAGAGCACAGCTCAGTTTGGTGCCCCCTGCAGGTAGGAGGGAGCAGTAATAGAAGTCTAGTCCTGCTCTCTATTGCAGCCCACTCACGGGAGTTAACACTCTGCTGCTTATTGAGCAGTGTGGCAGTGCACAGACTGTTTGTAAGTGCAGGTTTTTATTTTATTTATTAAACAAAGTACCCACTTCAGATTATCCTGCGAGGAAGAGGGACAAGTTGAAAAACCCAGGGCGGGGCAAGTGCCCCCCCTTGCCCCTCCCTCTGGACGCCCATGGTTGTATTATTCAAAATAAGGATTACAGAGAAGATTTATAAAAAGCAAAATCAGGTGCTACACTGGGGCAAAGTGCTAAATAATGAACAATCACCATGCCAACCAGCACTCTGATAAATAATCCTCTATATGTAATTTAGAATTTTTATGTATAATATAGAGAAAGCAGGCCCGGGCTGGCCATCAGGCAAAAATGGCAAATGGACCCTGCCGGCTAAAGCAGTGTAAGACCGGCCTTCACGAGCCAGAGTGAAGGTAAGGTTACGGAGACAAATGCACCAGAAGCCTCTCTTTTGCGAGCTCAGATATTATCAGAGCATTGCCATGGTAACCCGCAACACAACTCTGCAACACCGGTCAGGATTTCCCTGGACTGAAAAGAAATGGGAGGCATGACTGCTGCCCATAGTAGGGGAGGGCTAAAATGGGGATACAATGTTGCAAAAAGGGGACAAGATAAAGGGGCTCAGAGGGGAGGGTACTTACCACTTGTTAAGAAGGACCCTAAGGTTTAAGAAGTTTCCCGTCCTCCCTCCCTGGTTTTTGGTTGTTATTGGGTGCTTTTGTGGATTTTGGTGTTGTTTCTGTTCTTCTTTTTGTCACAGCATGCGGTTTTCCTGGCCAGTGCAAGTGACGGAAGTGACGAGTCGGCTTGGGGAGTCGCAGCCTGCTAGGACTGATTGCCAAAGGCAGGCTGTCTAGGATTCTGGAAAACATATGGATTATCAGTCTGTTGGGCAATCATCCCAACAGCTGACAGGTGGAAGGAATGCTGGTGCATTGATTGATTTAAATAAAGCTATGGCCGTTGCCATTATCCAATATCCAGGCGTCTTGTCGTTATTGGGGCAACGGGAAATATGTGTCTGGGTCAGCAGTCTTGTACCCTTATACAACTAACCAACCCACAAGACCGCCAGGGATAATGATTAGCGTGCCCCCTCTCGCCCTAAAAGTTGAAGAATCCATACTGGGAAAACACTGATGTCTTCAGGATACAGTAAGCAGAACACTTTCTGAATCGTTGACAGAATTGACTACATGCTTTGGCAGAAACACTACAGGTATAAAGATAATCCTCTTTCTGAATCCCAGGTTGCAAAGTTGAAAATATATAAAGAGTTGGAGAACTTTGT